GAAGACGCTTGAAGTAATTTTTACTAAAGTTTTTAATTAAAATGGCAGCTTTTAAAAGAAAGACAACTCTTCCGTATTATGTCAGTACACTCATATGTAGTAATTCGTATATTCGTATATTTTTTAAATTGATTGATATCATATAAATATATTCTACACTCAAATATACAATTTCTAATTAATGTCCGTTCCTTAAGTCCGATTCGATGTTATAGTCTGAAATCGAGGTCCAAAATTGTTATCCTCTTAATGGACGTCCAGTATTACCAGACCAAAGTCCAATCGGAGTCTCTTCTAATCGTCGCCCTTTTTTTCTTGTTATCAACTATGATGAAATCTTTTTGTCTTCGTTTTATTCTGTCTAAGTAGTCAAAATGATAAATCATAAAATCGCTCAAGAAGGAAATAAACGACTCATATGAAGAAATGAAACAAACCATTTAAGTTTTTAATATACTGTGATCGATTCTTGATCCAGTCGACCTATATTAAGTCATCCCAATAGTCATTTTATATTTACAATAAAAAGTGAGTAGGACAAAACCCATATTCACTTAAATATGATAAACATTGTTCATATCAATTGCTTGTTTATAAAATAGTATAATTAATTTTCAGTATATTGATTCCGCAATTCAGTTCAAATATAACATGTAGTCTTTACACACACCAAAACTAAAAATCAAGAGTCACCCCACTTATAATGACAATAAAATGCTCATCGGCATATTGTTAAAGTTTCTATTACTTCTCAAAATAATATTTTTGATTTGTAATCCATTATATTTTAAAAAAGGATTTCTATAGAAAAAGTATTTCTCAAAGAGATCGAAGCTCTTTTTTACTTGACACACTAATGTCTTGTGAACATCCAAATGATATTATTTGATAGATTTGTAAATCATTTTGATTTTTTAATTCAAGAGGACACAAGTGGTCTCAGTAAATTAAAATCAAACTAAAAATTATTTTTATATACATATGCACATCCATGGCTATACAAACTGTCGATACCTGTATCTTGGCATTACACAAAGTCATGTTTTTCTCGGACTATTAATAGCGTCTTTACATAAATCCTTTGGATGTTGGATGTGTACTGATTGATTTTAAGTCTTAGATGCATGCTTTTTTATTAGTTGTTATTGGCTTTGAAATAGCTGTGAATAACTGCGAGTACTCTCAGATCTGTATTTGGTGTCTTTTTTGTTGTGGGGATGTATAAATACCATGCCACGTCCGAGATGTGTTTTTTGTTTGATGTCTGTCTGCTTTGTATCGATCTGATAAGTTAAGCCCTTTCAACTGATTTTTTATAGTTGGTTCATATGTTGTATTGTTACATCACTATCCCAGATTAGTGGAGGGTTGGCTCCTTCAAACTAGTTTAACCACGCCACATTCTGTATGTGCCTGTCCCAAGTCAGAGCCTGTAATTCAGTGGTTGTCGTTTGTTGCTGTATATCACATTTGTTTTGATTCGTTCATTGTTTTGTACATAAATCAGACCGTTAGTTTTATCGTTTGAATTGTTTTACATTTGTCATTTCGGTGCCTTTTCTAGCTGACTGTGCGGTATGGGTTTTGCTCATTGTTGAAGGCCGTACGGTGACCTATAATTGTTAACGTCTATGTCATGTGGTCTCTGGTGGAGAGTCGTCTCATTGACAATCATACTACATCTTCTTATTTTTTGTATTATCATAATTACCTTCTCCTTTAAAGACATGGTTAAAGCAGGAAACTAATGGGATATAAATGATACTTGCCTGATAAGAATAACAAAGAGGCTCTCAAAAGCCTGAATCGCTCACTTGATAAAAATATGCCATTTTGATATTTATTTTTTTCCTTAATTGCAATCAGTTATGTTTGCTTATTTGAAGACCTTCTCTCCATCACCTATAGTTTTTGACAAAAATGCAAAACATGGATAACAATCATCAAATAACTTATACAAGGAGTCGGTTGTCAATTATGGCCATGATGACGGATTTTAATCTTATTGTATCGAACGTTTTTGGTTTTTTTTTTTACTATTCTCTCTATTATCTATCATATTTTGTGCAAAAAAACTGCAAACATGGGACAAAATTAATTTTCAATACTCCTCTCATGGGTCAATTGACAATTTCAATCATGTTGATTTATTTGTAGGTTTTATTTTGCTGAACAGTTTTGCTATTTATTGTTGCACTACTTTGTTTCTTCTAATAATTCATATTTTTAATAGGTAAAATTGGTCATTCAAGGACATTAATTCTTCAAGGAGTCAGTTGACAATTTCGGCATTGTTGACTTATTTGTAGATCTTATTGTGGTTAACATCTTTGCTATTTACAATTTCTCGCCATCTATAATGGTGTCTACAAATAATGAATAAATGGATAAAACATCTTCCAAGGGCAATCAATCGTATAAGTGGTCAACTGAAAATTGTATTTCGGCCAATTCAGCTTATTTGTAGATCTTATTTTGATAAACATGCTTGCTTATTACAATTGCTCTTTATTTCTCATATGTTCTGCAACAAACACAAAAATGATTAAAATTAGTCTTTCAAGGGTAATATATCTTATAAGGGATCAATTGACGATTCGTCCATGTTTACTTATTTGTAGATAATATCTTGTCGAACATTTGTACAATCGTAAGATTCTCTTTATCAACTATAGTTTCATAAAGAAAAATGCAAAAGGCGTACAAATCATCATTTATAGACAACAACTCCTATATTGGGTCATTTGACGATTTCTGCCAAGTTAGGCTTATTTGTATATCTTATTGTTCTGGTCATTTATACTGTTTAAAATAGTTTTCAAGATAATAACCGAGAACTGCGAAATTTTCAAACCAAATTTGATATTTTAGGGGCAATAACTTAAAAATGGGTTGTCCTATTTTTCTGAAAATTTTACAGTGATAGACATTGGCCAGCTGATCAATTCTACCCTATGTCAGATTTGCTTTAACTGCTTTAGTTTTTGAGATATATAAGCTAAAAATTGACATTTCAAAAATGGTTTATCCAATTTTTCGGAAAATTTCACAGGAGATAGACTTTGATCGGTTGATCATTCAAATACAAAAAGATTTTCTCTCACTGCTATCGTTTTTGAGATATGAATCAAAAACTGTATTTAACTCCTATGTTCTATATTAAACAACAGCGGTCATTTCACGCAAAGCTTTGCCAAATTTAGAAAATGGACAAAGGCTTTGCCAAACAAGATAGGTTTACTCCTAAACATCTTTGTATAAGACATCCTGTAACATACTAACGGTCTTTATTAAGCCTTTCCTCGAAGCTTACGTTTAATGACAAGTTTTCAAAAATGAGGCATTTTTTTACAGTTGTAACATGTTTGTATTAAATTCAAGAAGTTTGAAACCCTAAACTTGTTAGACAAAAAATAAATGTTAACCCTGATACTCGACAGACTATTTATGTCTTATGAACATCTAAATGATATTATTTGATAGATTTGATCGTTTTGATTCTTTTTTAATTCAATGGGACAAAAATGGTCGTAAAATATCTTCTCTTATTCAAAATATCTAGTGATATTAATATGGAATCAAAAATAGTTTAGAGAGGCATGTAAAATTTTATGGGGTTTGTTTTTATCATCCTTTATACTGTTTGAAAAAATGATGTGTTTTCTTCAAGAGAAAACAAACACAATGAATAATTTCGCACTTTGAAAAATTCGGCTTTCGGCGTTCCTGGTGAAGGTAAATAAAACAAAGCAGTTCGGACGCATTAAATTTTTGACGTGTTGTTTTCATATTTTAAGAGAACATTGAAGTATATAATATTCGGCCTATTGGTAAGAGAGAAGAAGATAACATGTTATTTTTCATAGTTTTTCAATGGGAACGATGTGTTACTAATATCGCCATGTTGTTCCGTGATGAACGGTTAAACGAGGAAAGTTGGTAATATCCATTTGATGTGGCTCGGACTTATACATCCAGTCATTGTGTTATTGTACTATGGTACAATTTTGTATTCTTGTCTTTCGTTTTTACTAATGTGTTTTGTCTATATACCTTTTTGTTTTTCTTTGTTGGCATATTTGTTTGTTTTTTAGTGATTAAGATATTAATACAATGTTGACTGCTGTAACCCTATTTTTGACATTTTTACCTATTATGCCTGTTTGTTTTGTTAACACATCGTTGTCAATATAATGGAATTATATGCGACTGTCATACAAGTTAGAGGTTTAGCTAGCTATAAAACCAGGTTTAATCCACCATTTTCTACATAAGAAAATGTCTGTACCAAGTCATTAATATGACAGTAGTTATCCATTCGTTTGATGTGTTTGAGCTTTTGATTTTGCCATTTGCTTAGGGTCTTTCCGTTTAGAATTTTCCTCGGAGTTCGGTATTTTTGTTATTTTACTTTTTTGTAGATAATATTCGTGTACCAAGTAAAACTTTAAACCTTTTCGCTTTGTAGATATAGAGAGGTAGTAGAATATCTGTTCGTGCGACAACTGAGTTGTAAACAAAGTTCTCAGAATGTGTGAGTGAAACAATCTTTGTTTGTTTTTCTGTGTAATTTAGCACTTTTACTGCGTTCATTGTTATCTCAGGACTATTAAATGTGTTAAATGACGATGTTTTAGAGGAAAACAGAAATTTTTATTGAAATATATAGTATTTATATCTAATTATAAATTGGAGAATTTCAAAATAACCCTTAGTCGGTAAAGGGCTTAACAAAGTTACACGAGTCTGAAGGCTTATTATTATTACTGTTATACAAAAAAACTATAATTCTATATTGATTCTATATAAATTCCCACTTGTGATAACACTTTTCTATATCAGTTTTCGTTTATTTTTGTCATTTAACAGATTGCACTGTATTCAATATATTTATAGATCACTATGATCATGCATTTCCTGCATTTAAAATTTGTATCGATGACATTGAATATTGACCTATATGCTTTGTCGTACCATCTACAGAGTCGTACAAAGTTAAGTACTAGTATAAAAATATTAATGATTGAACAAATTTCACAGCAGATTCAAGTTGTTGTTTTAAAAGGACTAATAAAGTTATACTTTATGCATCATTACGAATGTTAAAGGACTCGGATGTAACTATTTTGTAAGTCCAGTGTAATTCAAAGAAGGTAAGTTATTATAGTTGCCAATTCGTCGTTTCAGAAACCATTCTGCATTCTGGGTAGTATTTTAAAAAGCGTACACCAAAACGCTGTGTTTCGCTCACAACACCCCAATAAAATTCAAGCAATGACGTGACGTTTTCATTTTGGGGTACGAACAATGAAATTACCCATGGTCCTTAAGATACCGAAACGGCCATTTAATTTGTATTTGTATTTTGATATTCAAATATTTTGGCCTCAAGCATCACTGAAGAGTTATTATTTGTCTAAATGCACATCTGGTGCAGAAAAAAAAGTACCATTAATGCTATTACTCATGAACGAAAACGAGTCTGTCAAAAGACTACATTTAAATATTTTTGTTTTGTTTTTATTCTTAATTGATATTCAAGATTAGTATAGAAACCATCATTACCGATAGAAGGAATATGATAGAAATTTAAAAAATTTAACAGAAACGAAGAATATGGATATTTTCATTAGATATTTATATATAATACTTTTGTGAAAAGAAATGAAAAAGATAATTTTTCGTTTTTTCCACAATGTTGTAAGTTTCTCTTCGACTAATGTGTTTTGAATGTCCCCTTCCTAGCATCCAGCTCTATTTTCTTTGCCCGTCCAAGAATAATTTGCACGGAATTCGATTGATTATGCCTGATTGGTTACATGGTATATTTATTTTTACAATTAAGAGTAGAGTATGTAAATGACACATATATATGTATAATGTATTCTTAGTCTCTGATGCATGATTTTTTATTATTAATTGTTTTTGGTTTTTAACTAGCTTTCAGAAACTGCGAGTAGTCTCAAATCGCACTTTCGTGTTAATTTGACCTGTTGACACAATTTGTAATGCATTTTTGTTATTCAATGATTACTTATTTTTTCTGATATATCTCGTCTCACTATTTTTAATATGTGATAAGTATTTAGTATGACGATAAATTTTCACTTCTGTTCTCGTACTATGAACAACAAATTATTTTTTTTTTGTAAAAAATATTTCCGTACTCCTAACAACAAAATTATATTTAAATTTAAATGTGTACGTTATTTTGTCTAACACCAGGTTATAGTATCCAATTGACATTGTTTTACAGCCCCCATTTTTAATTAATATTGTATTTATATTGTATCATAGATCAAATTTATTCGTTCAGTGTATGTTTACTTGTTTTTTGTTAATATGTCTTTGTGATGAGATAAGCCATTTCAATTGATATTTTATAGTGTGTCTTTCTATGTTATAATGTTACACTACTGTTTCAGGGTTAGGGTGAAGGTTGGCGCCTGTTAAAACGTTTAAACCCGCAGCATTTGTTTGCATGTGTCCTAAGTCAAGAACATGTTGTTCATTGGTTGTCGTTTGTTGATGTGGTTCATAAATGTTTCTCGATGCTCGTTTTTTATATCGATTAGACCGTTGGTTTTCCTGTTTGAGTTGTTTTACATTAGTCATTTTGAGGCCCTTTATAGCTTGTTCGGTGTGAGCAAATGTCTCCGTGTTGAAGGCTGTACATTACCTATAATTGTTTACTTTTTACACATTGTGACTTGGATGGAGAGTTGTCTCATTGGCGTTCATATCACATCTTCGTATTTCTATTTATACAATGGTTGATGACTTAGAGTTCTTAATTTTCATTCACAATTGACTTCAAAAAGTATTGGGTGTTCAGTTCAAGTATCATTACTTCATGCTGCTTATTATTTGTACATGTATTTCTCTGTTCTTTAAATTAATAATATTGTTCAGTTAGGTAATTGTACAAAACACATAAAAGCAGAGTTTGGTATGTTTTCTTTAAGTCAAGGTTAGTAGAAAGTAAAATAACAAAAATAACTCCTAGGAAAACTCCAAACGGAAAGTCTCTTAACAAATTGCAAAGTCAACAGCTCAAACACATCAAACGAATGGAAAACAACTGTTCATATTCCTGACTTGATACAGGCATTTCCTCATGTAGACAATGATGAACTAAACCTGGTTTTATAGCTAGAGAAACCTCTCACTGGTATGACAGGCCATTATATTGACACCTACAAAACAAACAGACATGATAGGAAAAATTGTCAAAAATTGGGATACAGCAGTCAATATTGTAATATAATCTTAATCACCATAAAACAAATAACTATTTTAACAAAGAAAAAGAAAAACAAAATGACATTTAAGACACTCTGTAGACAAAGTAAATAGCAAAAATGAAACACAAGAATGCAAAATTGACAATAGCACAATAACACAAAATTGACCATAGCACAATAACAAAATTCCGGCATATATAAGTACCTAGCCACGCCTAAAGTATATTACCAGTAAAGGTGTAATACCACCATTGATTTTCCCCTATTAGTCTTTGTTAAATTTGCACTTTTCAAAAAATTGTGCAGAATTTATCTTTGTTTCAAATAAAGAAATACTTGGCATGAGTAAAGTTTTATCCTGTCCAGTACTATAGAAAAAATTTCACATAACATTTCATTGCATATAAGAAAATAACCATCACTGGAAGTTAACCAATCAAATTTTCCCCCTTTTTTAACCTGTGTACAAGCTTTAGTAACCATGTAACCTCAAGTTTCCAAAATATTCTATAGAAACCCCAAATAAAAAAATAAGTGTGCTTTGAAATACCCAAGATATATGTTTATGACCCAGAAATGTTTTACTGCAATGAAATGTAGGATCAATTACCTACAACTGTCAAATGCAAGGGAATATTTTTGTTCGACCTATTTTCGTATGCAACCGGATGTGACGTACTATGATTTGGTGGTATTACACCTAAAGGTAAAAAATGTACAAGGATAAAAAAAGAACACTATAACACGTAATTAAGATGATAAACAACGTCAGTACCTAGAATCTATACTTCAAGACCATGTTTTATTTGTGAAGGTAATACGGGACATTTACTAACAAGATCTACACAAGGAAATGCCTGTGCTAAGTCAGGAATATGACTGTTGTTTTCCATTCGTTTGATGTGCTTGCGATTTTGATTTTGCCATTTTATAAGGCACTTTCCAATTTATTTTGAAGTTCGGTATTTTTGTTATTTTCTTTTTTGGTATCTTCCAATGATTTTTTTTTTTGGAAAAAAAGACGAGACGTTTTATACATAACCTTGGATCATCAACTTTCTGCTCAGACGCTGGTGACGTTTTATAAAGTCTGAGTAGGAGCTGCAAGCGAATGAATACCTGATGAGTTGGGAAATGTTTATCCCTTATGCAGGTGAAGTTGGTATATTGCTGCTAATGTGGGGAAAATTTATAATCAATTATATTTCAGAGATCAAGTCTGATCGATTAGTAGATTATATTTCCAAACTGATTTATTTTGCTTGATACTATTAAATATACCATTATTATTTTGATAAACATATAGTACAGCAGCTTATCTTACATGTATTTATTGCATTATCTAATATTGCAGAGCAATATATAAAGAAGACGATGGCATATATTTTCTTGGTATCAATAATAACTTTAGTTATGAAAGCAAACTGTGAGGAATATAATCTTCAAAAAAATAATCAATGCAAATATTGGAGAAAGGAAACGTTACTTCACGTTGATTGCACCAACAAGAAAATGTCAACAATAGGAATTTTTCCAGCGGATACAGCTTTTCTAAATTTAGGATACAACTGTATTAAGCAAATAACTTCCGGAGCATTTAAACATTCTCGTGGACTTGTTGAGCTTGATTTATCTTATAATGAAATAACGCAATGTGATCGTTTATCTTTTGACGGCCTTCACAAATTGAGGAGATTATATTTGAACAGTAATAATTTGAACTACAGTCTTTTGTCTTTACCTGATGGAATATGCAAACCGCTTTTTTCTTTAACATATCTCAATATTAAAGATAATTTACCCGACAATAAGCCAAATATTGAGGATATTGTTATGAAAGATCTGCGAGAACTAGAGTCACTTGAGATTGATGTCAGAAAAACGGCAAATGAAATCGTTTTTGGAAAAGATTATTCAAATTTACGAAATCTCAGAGCGATAACTTTTGGGCTTTGTATACTGTGGCATATGAATAACTATACATTTGAAAATTTGCCTTATTTAGAATACATTCATGCAACGGGCTGTAGCATCGTGAATTATAAATCCAAAACACTATCCTATAGAAAGCAATTAAGATTTATTGATTTCTCTTATTCCCTCACAGGAATGAATGACAAGAAAAGATTCCTGTCTGATATGATGTCTACTGGCATAAAAATTGTAAAACTGACAAATTGTAATAGGACACCAATTGAATTTCCGTATATTTTTTTTCATATGTTGAAACGAACAGGAATAGAGGAACTATATTTAAGCAACAACTTATTATCTGGATTTCAAGACACATCTTTTCCAGCCTCACTTCATGTTTTAGATTTTTCCTTCAACCATTTTACAATTTTCCAGCAAAATTTGACAAACCTTTCTAGATTGTTATTACACAATAATACACTGGGACCATATCTTGAACGTAATACGTATTACATTTTCTCTACAACAAGCCATTTGAAACATATAAACCTGGCATCTAATTTTATTCGCTCTCTACAATTTAACATATTTCACCATCAACCTTTACTAGCTGAGATTGATCTCAGCCATAACATAATATCTGAAATAACGTTTGACTTGGCGGAATCAAAGAATTTACAATTTTTGGATCTTTCTGGAAACTTATTTCGTGCATTCAACGAAACAACAATGAATGCATTATCATCGATGTTCGAAACATCAGGTCTGAATATGAGCTTAAAAGACAACCCCCTTCGCTGCAGTTGTTTTTCTCTGCCTTTTCTCGAATGGATGCTTGAGAATCAAGATCACTTCTACAGCATTCATAAATACAGATGTATTTTTGATAACAATACTGAAATTGTTTTCAAATCACTTGGACATACAGTGTTACAATTAAAAAGAAGTTGTGCATCATTTACCGCCGTAATAGCTCTTGTATCTGTGGCTGTTGCTGTCAGTTTAGTGGTGATTTCAGGTGGATAAGCGTATAGATACAGATGGAAAATACGTTATGTATATCACATTACGAAGAAGAAATATTGGCGACATATACCGTCAAGACAGGACAGTCATTACGAGTACAATGCTTTTATTTCTTTTGCAGAAAAAGATCGCGAATTTATTTTAAAAGAATGTATTCCGAATCTAGAAGCCGATGGAAATATTAAGTTATGCGTTCATCATCGTGATTTCTTGCCAGGGGAAGAAATTACAACTAATATTACTAATGCTATTCACCAAAGCGGGAAAACAATCTGTTTAATATCAAAGTCATTTCTGGAGTCCTATTATTGTAATTTTGAATTTAATATGGCGAGGATGGAAAGTATTTATGGAAGAAATGGTGAAAACATGTTATTTCTTATTTTCTATGAACAAGTTAAACCACAAGAACTACCACTAGTAATGCTCGAATTAATTGACCGAAAGTCGTATATTGAATACCCGAACGACGAACAAGGAAATGTCGTGTTTTGGGCAAAGATAAAGGAAAGTCTGAGTAGTCATCATGACCAGTAAACATATCGTTGACTGTTATTAGGACTACCAATGATACAATGGATTTGATGTTATTTGAAGAATGAAGTAAATGTGTGTATTTAGTATTGCGTATTAACGACATAAACAAAAACTATATTTTGATTCATGTGAGTCCTGTATATTTTTTGTATAGAATATCTTTTATCATTTGCTTTATTAATTATTGTCTATCTCGTCACATTCTTTATCATCACATCAATTTCTGAATTTACAATACTAGTGTATTAATCTTACAACTGTATGCTTGGGATACATGTCCACTATCGTGCAAACAAAGTGAGTAATTTATGTTTTTCATTAGCGAACTTTATTCTTTGGGAAATATGTTTTCAACCATTACGACTATTAGACTATTGAACTAAAAGTTGAACACGGAGTATTGCTGTCTTTGAAGACAGATCTGCTACTTTAAAACATTACAAGCAATAGTTCTAGCTCCACAGTTAATTACTGCTTCTTTAAGTCAAAAGTTAAAAAGAATTTTAAACAGAACTTCAGTAAGGTTATACAAAGACAGTAATTGTTCTATAACGTAAAACACTGGTAAAAGGATTATAGTTTAAAACATTCATTTTGATCTTTACATCATATGAAAAGTCTGAACGATAAATTATTGAGTCATGTTTAGTCTTTCAGCAAGTTTTTAGACTTGTCTACAGCGGAAAATTCAATAGTGATCAAACAATTCGATTATAGTCAATTCAGTACTGTTCAGTAGCCTTTCAGACAAGTCAGTATGTTGTTGGTTTGAACAGATAAATATAAAATACTAAATAGTTTAAACAAAGACTGAAAAGGTTGTAATTGACTACAAGCGAATTATCTGATCAGTACTGAAATTACCGCGGCGGAGAAGTCTGTACATTGACAGAAATTCTGAAAATCACTTAAATTATTGTTCAGAATTTTGAGAAATGTTCAGAATTTTAGAGCTGTTCAGATTAAAATGACTGTTTCAGATGAAAATTGATTTACTAGTGAAAGATTTCATAAATGTTTATGTTTTCTTCACTTTTTATTAATCACAATGATTAACTGTTGTTTTGTTTTTGGTCTCGTTTCACGAATGAGAAATTCAGTTAATCTGTATACCTTGACAAGAAATTATAGACGTTCAAATAATATTTTTATAGTTTATAAAATATAATATTTCGACAAGTCAAGGTCGTATTACTGTAATCTCAATTGCAGCAATATTGAAAGTTTAAACTTTTATTTCCTGCATGGTTTGAAAATGATATTCACAGGAAATATTGCATTAAATGAAATAGAAAAGAATACATTGTCACGTATTATAAATATGGATATTTGTATGTGAAATTGTTGGTGAATTGTATGATAGTATCCTGCCATATTTTAATGTCTTATTAAAACTATTGACCTCAATAGGTCAAGCTCAAGCAAGCGAACTAAAAATTTATAGTTTAAAAATATGAGGGTCAAAATTAAAATAGATCAATTCAGTTCAGTTTAGAAGAGCTCCACTTCATTAGCTGCAGAATTCCCTTATGCTTTAACTTGAAACTTTTTTGGTAGAAAATTATAAGTTAAATAACGATATTTATTTTTATAAATAAAGCAATATGCAAATATGTTGTCTTTTTCTTGATTGGTCCTAGTTATTTAACAGGTCTCAAAGAAAGTTCGACTTTCATACAGCAACTGTTGTAAAACATCTGTTCTACCTCCATGACAAATATGCTGTTGAACACACAGATTAAGACCCAATCAACATCGTTTTTATTAATAAATTACATTATATAAAATGAAGGAATTGAGTACGAGTATTGACAATTCACTTGGAAATTCAACATATACCCCTACGACGCTCACCAAGGAGAAAATATCGAAAAATGATAGGTCTTTTTTTTTGTTCCTTCAGAATTTCAACCAAAGATGATGAACTGGGTCTTCCTTCACTATATTCGAATCCTACGTTACATAAGTGTCCTTACAAACAACTTTGTATTGCTGGTCCTTCCAAGTGCTTCACAACCCACTTTCTACATTTTAAACATTTTTAACATCAATTTTATCGTCAATTAAAGTCTGGCTTCAAAGTTATTGTGAAACTACCTACTATAGGGGCCGCTTGAATCAGATGTGGATAATTTCAAAGAATTGTTAGAAAACATACAAAGTCTTTTTCCTCTTGCAATAGTAATAAAACATTTGACTTTAATTCTCTTTACACAAGTATTCCCCATTCCAAACTGAAAGACAAATTAATAAAATTGGTCCTGCTTTGCTTCATACAATAGAATGGCCAACGTAGATAAATGAACCTTGTCTTAAGGAGGAATAAACGTACCTTTGATAAAATCACTCTGATTCAAACAAAAATTTCTCTGAAATTGACAACATCAAGATCCTTGATTTCTTGATTAACAACAGATTTGTTACGTTTGGAGGACGTGTTTGTCTTCACACAATTGGAATTTCGTCATGAGTACCAATTGTGCTCCCTTTCTTGCCAACTTGTTCCTTTTTGTCATTTGATGGTGACTTAAGCTTCATACAGAAACTTCTCAGGGAGAATTAAAAGAAGCTAGCATTATTCTTTAACTTCATGTTCCGCCTTATATATGATCTCCTCAAACTAAATAATTTAAAGTTTGGTGACTATGTTGAACGCATCTATCCCATCGAACTTGAAATAAAGGATACATCAAATACAGATAAGTCTACCTCATATCTTGACTTACATCAAGAAATTTACAATGAGGGTAGGTTGAAAACAAAACGACAAAAGAGATGATTTAAGCTTCCCAATTATGAACTTTTTATTTCTTTATAATTACATTAGATGTATGTTTCATTATTATACGTTATTTTGATTGGCTAACAGCAATCTCGCGTCATTCTTCATTTCAAAATGAATTTCATGAATTGTAACATACATGATGGCACACGTTTCCACAATAAAGTGCACAGGTAAATAAAGGAAAACAAATGATAATAATCGTGTTTTCATGATCATAGCGAAAAAATGTAATTATAAGTATTGAATGCTTCTTTTTGTAAATTCATCGGGGTGTAAAAGCGTTGCCCGAAGTACATTTTGTATGAAGCGCTTCATTCTAAAAATGTACGCACGGTCAACGCTTTTACAACCCTAAGGAATTTACATTTTTTCTCTATGATCATGAAAACACGATTACTATCATTTTTTTAAGCATTCAATACTTAAGTAGCAAGATTCCGACAACGCCTATACAGAGAGTCTATATCTCCCAGTTAAAACGATATTCCAGAGCTTGCATTTTCTATCATGATTTCTTTTATAGAAGGGATTCTGCTTACAAGGAAGTTATTAATCCAAGAGATACAAGCAGTGAAGTTGAAATAATTCATTCGAAAATGTTACGGACGCCATCACGATTTGGTTGACCAATATGGAATATCTGTTTCACATATGAGGACGATTTAGTTCCAACCGTCGTAACCACAATCTCGTTCGGGTTAATTCCGAGTGGTATTTTAATCAAAAGTTGTTTTAAGATCATTTCAGCCGTTGATATGATAATGAAAAGTCGACTGAACAATGCCTGATTGCTTAGAGTTTGGTATTTTTGTTAAAACTTCTTCCAATATCAACAGAACGATGCGAAATAAATTTTCAAATTTAATGTGGAAAGGAATATATTTTCTGCTGATCAAGGAGAGCAAATTAAATAATATACTTTCCACTTTCCACAACTAAGCAATACGGTCTCCGTTGTAATTAACAAACATGAACATATGGTGCTCGGGATGTTGTTTCCCTATGAATTGTAAGAGGAAGGGCAAAAGTATATAAGCGTTTGCCGTACATTTAATCATAAACAGCAGATGCATATTATAAAAGTATTAAATGCAATAGGATGCTGTATTAAAAAACCCAATTGTGGCCAATTTCTGGCATACTGCATCACATATTAGAATATAAAAATATATAAAATTTATGAAGGGATGATTTCAGCTTCACCACTTGGAACTCTTGGTTTAGTAGCTTCAAATGTTCTAAAAACAAACATATGATCAACTATATTGTTTGTTGTTGAAGTACTATCTGGGACAGAATTTCAAATCATATCTGTATATCACTTAAATCTTTCATTTTAAACGAAACTGTAGCAATCTGCTATGTATTACTTAATAGCAACAATTCTGTCATTTGAGGGATCACCGCTTTTTTAAATATCAAAGATAAGACACTATGCATGTCTACAGTTACATGTAATAATTAGAACTCATTTTCATGTATCTGTTATCTATAAAATTAAAACATGACAGTGCATCATAAGCCTAGTTGTCTGGCTGAATCATTATGATTATCCTCAATGTAACTGTACTGTGCATATTTAAGTTGCACTCTACTCTAATAAACTATGTATTCATTTATTCTTTCATACATATAGGTTGTAATTATCATTTTTCCAATCTTTTGGATATCAGAAGTTTAATTATACAAGAACATACAACGTATTATAAACTCACTAATATATATATGAACATCTCATTCTTAATTTTGTCTTTTCTGTTGCCTGTTTGTTCTTCATCATTTTAAGACCAGCAGCGATTTCATCACTAGTAAATTATAATCTTATGTTTTATGGCTGTAATGGTTCAGTCATACTTAAAATAAAAAAAAATATTTTCTAATATAATATTAGATATTAAGAAAGCTTCAAAAGTTAGTCATGCACTCATCAGATGAAATTTACTTTTGTCTTTTAAATGATTATATCCGACCTATTTATGGAATGAAATTTGTCATTTTCACAAATGCCCAAATAGTACTGCAACCAGAGTTCATTTTTTAAAACTTTGATGTACAGGAAGAACACACACCTATATTGCATATCGATGGGAAGAGGAAAATGTGTACAATAAGAAAAGTTTGGTCGTAAAAACCCAGAGTGGTCAAATTTTGGCGAAATTTAGTTCAAAGGTCAAACCTCAAATATATCACAAATTCAAACATGAAGAAAAGAGAAGGAATTTTCTGAGATATATTCAGTAGAATGATACAAAAATGAGTTTATTACAAGCATATACTGCAAAGGACGATAAAACGTTTAGCTATTTGTATGAACAGCTGTCGTTACAAAATGGCGTCCTTGATGAATCTTCTGATTTTTTTCCATTTATGTCAAAGAAAGTGTAGATGTGGCCTTGACCTTTTCATATCCACTTACTTTTACATTGCTGATCATTTTTCACCGCAGCATATAACAGAATTATTTTCTAAATTTTAAAACAATAGTTTCTCGATATGTTTCAGTTATTTTTCTTCATTTAGAAAAAAAAACAAAATTCAAACACTGAAACCATGTTTTTCCATTTTGCATACACAGGGTGTGTATTTTGGAAATTAGTATGTGATAATGGATTCACAGATATTATGTACTTAAAGTCGAAAGATCAGTTATAACCAAAAAAAAAAAAAAAAATGTCAACCGAGGCGAAAGCGATGTTTAAAAAAAGTCATAGGTGTAACTTGCTATGTTGGTTCAGTGTGAACAAAAAAATAGCATTCTCCTTATGGGATTATCCTGGTAAAAATTTGTAATCTGATTATTTTATTTTATCAAAGTGATTGATTATAATGTTAATTTGCCAATGTTGTAATTTGAAAATTGGCCAAGGCCCTTATACAACTTGTTTTTGAAGGGCTACAATCATTTAATAGGGGTAAACAGTAAAAAATGCTTCACACTGGGAAATTATATAAAAGAAGCTTAGTTACACGTCAATCTTTTCGTCATTGTTTGCGATACCGGTAGGCCATTTAGCACGCTTCATCGCCTTGATATGGACAAAGTTCGGTGCAGGACAGATTTACAGGTTCAAAGTAAATCTTGTAAGTAATCTTAAGACATTGCAGGAAGGAATTGACAACCATATTTATTGCTGGTTATTGTCCCTGTTGAATAAAATTTTATTAAGGCATAATAAAGAACGAAGTTGAAGAGTATTGATGACCCAAAATAATGATAGGTTGTCTCAAATACAGCTAAGGTAAACTATGAGTTTTCCCAAGTACAGCTAAGGTAATCTATGAAACTACAGTTCCTGGCTTTTTTCCATTGACATGAATTTGAAGAAATGCACACACAGAATGGAACATCTGTAACTAGAGACTTTTCACCTATTCGAACCTTCTTGTTTTTCCTTTCAATCTCTTTGTCTCCAAAAAATGACATGCAGGATCATTCGGTATTTGCCTCTTCGTTTGTCCTGACTTAATCCTGAAGGTCAGATACCTATGCAGAAGAGAACTTCTTCACATCAATCGGGTCAACAAAATTACCCGCTAGAAAGAGTTCAAGCTCATGCGAAGTCAACCCAGGGGACTGGGCATGCTGACGCTTAAAAGAATTTTCCAGTCTGGTATGGATCGACAATCTATAACCTGAATTACATTCTGACTAAAATTAACACTAGTTCGTTGGTCTTTTTTGATTTACTAGTAATAGAAATTTTTAGGTCGTATCTATCAAAGACAGCAACAACTGTACCAGCATTGGTAATGCATGATATCTGATTTTGAACGAAATGTAGAAGCAGATCCCCGAAAGTGTTAAATATTGATATCGTAACATTTAAC